TCTCCTTCTCCTCCTCTTTCACTCTGCTCACCCCACTCCCTTATAGCACTGATGATGTTACCTAGTTGGGTAATGAAACATCTGCAGGAAAGCAGCCAAGCTCAGAGTGCACCAAAGACCCCACATATATCTATCCACACTTCAAAATATTTCTGCAGAGAGTCTGCCCAATCTGAAGCTAGGTGAGAAAACCTCATGAACATCACTGTGATTTTCCCTCCCACGAACTCCCTAATTTCACTTATATTTATGCTGTTGTGTGTTATCAATGTCATATAATCACGCTTTCCAATCTCCTGCAAATCTATGTGGCCCATGTGTCATAACAGAAATCTGTGTCCTTCTATGCCTTTGTAAGGCTTATTTAGATGATTCGCCAACTTTCATGGAGTTGACCAGATTTTGAGTGTCTTGATGGGGAAGTTAAAAACAGCTTAAGCTCAACACTTCGTTGTCATGTTTGACAGCATGTATCAGACGTATCAGACCAGAGCAGGGGTGAGGAACTACGGCTCCTTTAATGATTTGTGGACTTCAATTCCCAGAATTCCTGAGCCAGCCATAATTCTGGGAGTTGAAGTCCCCAAGTCATAAAAGGGCCATAGTTCCCCACCCTTGCAGAAGAGAATAGTGGTCTATGACAGTTCTGCAGACAACTCCAGAGTCAGCAGTTGGATAGACTTGACCAAAGACACTCAGATGCGTCTCAAACTTTTTGCCACAGGCAAGAAGGAAGCCATAAATGCAAGCTGTGACTGGCCACCGCAGCGCAAAGAAGACAGTGCCTTCATGTGTAGCTGTGGTCCTGAGCTTAGTTTTGTTTTGTTTTTAATCCTCCAACCCTTGGAAGAGAATATGCATGACTAAGTTTTGTAAACCAAGGAGAATGGAATATAATGGACAAATATGAGATGATACGAATGCATGACTATAAAAGATGGTTGTGAATATGTATAGAATTGTAGATAAATGTAGATAAATGTAAATAGAAATAATATGCAGCTAGCACTATACTAATATCATAAGGGAAGAAGGAAATTAACTGTTATGTGTATCTTTATACTATAGCTTGTATGGCCAAAATGATGGTCAAGAAAGTCACACGGTGTTCAGTTGTTTTTAATGTTTATTCAATAAAATTTATTAATTAAAAAAAGAATATGCAGTACTAAGCCTATCCTATTGGGTGTCTTCCTGGATTCCAGGTGCTGTGGTGCAGAGGTGGTAGCAATAGCACTTAGACTTATATACCACTTTATAGTGCTTTACAGCCCTCTCTAAGCCATTTACAGAGTCAGCCTCTTGCCCCCAACAATTTGGGTCCTTGTTTTACCCACCACGGAAGGAAGGAAGGCTGAGTCAACCTTCAGCCTGGGGAGATTTGATCTGCCCAATTGTAGGCAGCTGGCTGCAACGGAAGTAGCTTGCAGTATTGCACTCTAACCACTGCGCCACCGAAGCTTATTCAGCCGGTTCAGACCAGTTCTAGAGAACCGGTAGCAGAAATTTTGAGTAGTTTGGAGAATCGGCAAATGCCACCTCTGACTGGCCCCGCCAACCCCATCTATTCTCTGCCTCCCATTGAGTCCTAGCTGATTGGCTGGGTCTCCTTTGGTTGTCCTGCAGAGGAGAACGGAGCTGGAAAGTAGGTTAGTGGAGTGGGGAGGGAATGGAGATTTTGCAGTAACTTTCCCCTGCTCTACCCACCAAGCCACGCTCACCAAGCCATGGCCACAGAACCGATAGTAAAAAAAATTTTTTTGAATCCCACCACTGTGTCTGGTGCCACCTCACCTGGTTCCGTTCTTCTTCAAGAAAGTATTTTTGACATTGAGATGCCGGCTGTTGAGTTCCAGAGACGTAAACCCCCCATTATCCAGAGTGACAGAGTCTTCCACGCCGGACACATTTTTTCCTGGGGACAAATTGCGACAGAATGAGCGAAGGCGTAGCCCTTTCTCTGGCTCTGGGTGAAAACAGAGGGGGGAAAAAAAAGAGACCCATCATTTTTGAGATAACTGTCAGGCACAAAGGATCAGGGCCACACACTGCATTCCAATGAAGCTGATCTATTGCTCATGCCTGCATGCAAGTATCCAATCAACTAATGACCAGCACTAAATTGGCATCAGATAAGGGTCGGCGGAATTCAAGAGGGGCTGGATTCGGAGCATTTGTGGCAACGTAAGGATGCTAAGCTGGTGACACACTTAACTCCACCCCCAGCTCAATCTGCTCTTCTCCTACAATAATCATTTTTTATTGGAAGTGTTAAACAGAAGTATTAGACAAGACTTAGAAATAAAAGGTATGGAAATAAAAAGAAAAATACGAAGTATAAGCATTTGCAGATGACCTGGTATTTATCTTAGAAGAACCATTAGAAACTGGCCTCAAGCTAATAGGAAAAATAGAAGAATACAGAGAAGTTGCAGGATTGAAAATAAATAAAGTTAAAAATAAAGTTTTTAAAATAAAGTTAAAAATAACATTAGTTAAAAATCTTACAGGCAAGTTTTAACTTTTATTGAGGGAATTTCTTTTCTTTTATATAGCATGCGTTTTTCATTTGCCTGGGCCTTTGGGGACGGGTGAGAGAGAGAGAGAGAAAAACCAACCCTTTCCAATGAATATATGGATTTTTTTTCCATCTAGCCAAGGAATCTAAAGCACAGATTAAAGCACTGATGTTTTCAGACTTAGCAGCTCCTTTCACCTTGGGTGTCCTAACAACACAGAATAGACTTTCAAATCATGGCCCCATTCAAGACAGCTTAAAAGAAAAGCTCCATCGATTTCGGGGAGATTTGCCCCCAAGGAAGTAACTTGAGGATGATGGCTTTGCAACCCGAATCTGCCGGCGTTCACTGAGGAATTACTTCTGCTGAATTCACCGGGAATCAAATATGGTGAATGTGAAGCAAACTGGAGCGAGAAAGGCTTGGGACACCATTTAGAGATGGTGAAGCAAGTCATGACCTCCTTTCAGAGTGGATGAACACAATTATATTTTGAAACATCCTTTTGTCGCGTTTTTTTTAAAAAAAACAACAACAGCACTGTTCTATAAACTGAAAACTAGAGCAGAAGTTTCTCTCAAATGGCCCTCTTAACTTTCAGGGGTGTTTTTGGTTTCTAAAGGAGAAAATGGTTTGAAAAGCCTCAAGTGGTATGACGTATTTTCCCATTCAGGGGAAAATGAGGAACTTCAAGACTATCTGGTGGAACCTCGAAGCATTCTAGATATCCTCCTGGAAGGGTTTCTCTTATTACAGCTGGATTTCCATGGCACAATGGCTTTTAGGTTCCTGCACAGGTTCTCTAGAACCTATAAGATTTGGCCTAAATTCTGGAATATAAACCCCGGTTAGATCTCAGCTTCGATATTGTTAAAGAATACTCTCGTCCTTGGTCTGCCATCTTTTCCTGCTTCTTCAGGAAAGTTGTTCCTGCACAACTTCTCCTGCTGCACCACACAAAGCCTCTTGCAAAAGGTGAAGGACAGACTGCCCTTTGGTGTTCGTCCTCCACAGAGAGAGCTGCCTGTGCATGGCGCATAGGAATTGAAAATAGCATTTAGCTCGATAAAGGGCCATGCCATTCAAACATTTCCAATCCCAGAAGAATAATGATTTACTAATACTTGTTAGAAGTGAATTTATTCCTTGGGGGAGGCAGTTTTTTTGGGGGGGTGGGGGGAGTGAATGAGAGAATATAAATCTTTGATTGCAAATTGTGGAGTTCTGAAGAAAGTTTTTCCGTGTGGGTTTTTATCACCGGGTTAAAGAAATGCCGGGGACAGCATCTCATACCGCCTGTGCCAAACACCATAGTGGTCAACATCACCATTTTGCTTGCTTCTTGCTTGTTCTAAGTTTTGGCGTTTGTGTTTGTGTGTGTGTATGAGTACGAACCCCACATTTTGCAGTCTCAAAGAGTTAACGTGCCTGTCGCACACATACACACAAATCCCGGTGATTGGAGAGGCATGTGCTATTGGCAGCTTTTGAAAGGACTTTGTGTCTCAGGCGGAAAGGGCACAAAATTGATTTGCAAAGCTCTGAAAACACAGTTCGGGGGCTGGGCTATAAATATTTAAGCTCCCCCTGAAAGAGGCCAAGGTTGGATGACAGGTGGAAGCGAAACCCTGCAGGTATTATTAAAGGCACTGGGCAACAGAGAACACCACCCAAGGAATCTAAACAAGCACTTCAGCCTGCAGTGACGATAACCGAGGCACTTGGGATTAAGTCCGCAAGGCAAGGATGCTTATTTTTCAACGCGGTGGAAGTTCATTGGATAAAACGGAGGACAAAAGGGTATCGTGTAGGGTTGGAAGGCAGGGATCGGTCAGGCCAGGAGGCCCGACAGGATTTGGTTAGGAAATATTTATTTTCCATTTTGTCACAGGCTGAGGATCCAAGGCTCCATGAAGGGGATGAAGAGGACAGCCCACCTGTGTTGTTGTCTCGGTACTTCTTAGTCTGGTTGTGCAAGATCAATGCAAAGATGACCATCAGGATGAGAATGAGGCTGCAGAGGGCCACCACAAGCAAGAACCACCACTCTTCATAGAAAGGAGATGCTGTTTGAGCTGTAGGGAAGAAGGACACAACTGGTTGAGGGATCAGCTCTGGAATACTTATCTTTGCCCCAGCTCACGTCATTGAGGGATCTCTTTCATTCCTGTCTGCTCTTCTACTCAGAAAACAAAGTTGGAAAGGAACTTAAAGGTCTTCTAGTCCAACCCTCTGCTCAAGCAGGAAGCCCTATACCAGTGGTGGCTAAACTTTTGGGGCTCCTGTGCCAAAAATTGCACGTGCACTAGCGCTCGTGTGCCAGCATCCAGAAGGCAATGCGCCTCCTTACATGCACTGTGCCTCCCGGTTGATTTTCGTCCCATTTGAGGCCTTTTTCGGCCTGCCAGAGGCTTGAGGGAAACCCCTGCAGGCTTTGCAGGCCAAAAAAAATGGGCCCTTTTTGTCACTTCCAGTATTTCTGGAAATACAGGAAGTGACGAAACGGGTCTATTTTTCGGCCTGCAAAACCTGCAGAGATTTCCCTCAAGCCTCTGGTAGGCCGAAAAAGACCCGGAAATCAGCTGGGAGGCGCATGCACATGTGCAGTGAGGTAAGTTTTCCTAGGGCTCGCGTGCCCACCCAAATGGCTCCATGTGCCACCTGTGGCATGTGTGCCATAGGTTTGCCATCACGGCCCTATCCCATTTCAGACAAATGGTTGTCCCATCTCTTCTTTAAAAACCTCCAGTATTGGAGCACCCACAACTTCTGGAGTCAAATCGAGTGTCCCAGTGTCAGCCTTGCACCAATAAAGACTTCTTCACATGTCCAAAGGAATGCCGAAACAGAGTTTACCAACCTGAGATGGCTACAGAAGCAGCACTGGGTTCTCCGTATCCAAGCTCATTCACCGCCACCACTCGGAACTGATAGTTTACTCCTTCTTTCAACTGGTCCAGGCTGACCGTGTAGGATGTGGCACTCCGCGGGATGTTCTTCACAAACAGGTCCCACACACCTTCATCTGCAAAAGCAGCAAAGAATGAAGAGTTTTGGTGGTCATTGCTGATCACTTCACACAGGCTTAACCCAACATCGTTATGAGCACCAAACTTAATACTAGGTCTCCAAACTTGGCAATTTTAAGACTTGTGGACTTCAACCCCCACAGCCGGCTGAGGAATTCTGGGAGTCGAGGACCACAAGACTTCAAGTTGTCAAGTTCGGAGACTCCTGCACTAGACCAACAACCAAGAAGCAGACAATCCTCCAATTAAGGAACTGCCAATGCAGACAAACAGGCAAACACTAAACTACAACCTAATCAAGAAACCACCAAGAACACTTCCACTGACTCTGACCGGGCATGCTCCCAGTATATAAAAATAAAAGCAAGCCCCACTTCCTTCTAGCATTGATGACGTTACCTAGTCAGGTGATGAAATGTCTGCAAGAAACCCATCAAGTTTGGAGTACTAGGGACCCCACATGTACATAAATAAGTAACCAAGGGACTACAGAGGTCCGTGAAGTGCTTTCTAAAATCCCTGAAATAACCGTTCGTTGGACTTGAAACAAATCATCTGGAACTCTTTTCTCTTGTAGTCCTTTACCTGTTCTTGATGCAGAGACTTTGCAGTGGCAGAAAAAAACCCTCTGATTCATGTGACTCTAGAGTTGGCTGCCCATAAATTTCAGCCCAGAAAGGTATTAGGTTGTGAGCACCGGTGACAGTGATTAATACATTCTCCGTTGCCTATTGTTTGATGGTGGTATTTGGCAAGCCCCCAATGATGAGGCGGTGGGCTGGAGACTGAAAACCCAGCTACCTTTCAGCAGTGCAACCTCATGAGGGAGTGGATAATTTCCCCTCTGAAAATCCACCGTGGATTTGCCAGCGACTGATCATAAATTCAGCCAAATGCCACCCCTCCGCGTTGGGATAGA